AAGGATTGAAGATACATGTCATAAATGCAGACATTCACATATTGATGACTGTAATAAATGATAGGTACAGCAATAACTAACATATTTAATTCAATAGCAGAAAAATAATCTGAAACTAAGTATCACTATAAAAGAACATAAGTTTTAAGGAGCCACATGATTTCAAAAGTTTCATCACATTTGTAATGAAAACTCTCTGTTTATGGAACAGAACATGTTTTTGAGAACACATAGATTACTTTATCAAGTTCTGTATGAATTCTGATAACTAAAGACTGCTAACATCCCAAGGATTCAGGTGCTATAGTATGGGAATGGGGTGGGGAACGTCAGCCTTCAGCAGATAAGCCTGCCCACAAATCTCCAAGAAGATTCTCTGAATCTGCATAGACATTTGAGGGAGCTAGCTCAGACAGACTCGGGTGTTAGTCCCACAGACTGACAAGTCCCAGGCCTCAGCCATCTCCAGAGTCCTCAAATAAAAGGTCCTAAGAGCCCTAGTCTCTGTGACGTCATTACATGGTGATAGTGGGCAGGCAGGATCTGACCAGAGGCACAGGCTTAAATGCCTCTCTTTCTGTTTTATTCACAGATCTCAGGCCATCAGGTTCTCATTCTACATCTCAGAAACATCTTACCAACCACAGAATGTTCCTGGGCACTTCTATCCAAAACTAATCCATCCTGTAAAATCTGACCCAAACCATGCCTATGCTATGAAAGTCTTTCCTAAGCGGCTTAACTGAAAAGACCTTTTCTTCTGAATTTCACGGACACTGTCTATCTGTGCGATTCAGCATCTCACCTTGACCTGCTCTGAGGCTCCTGGGACTTCCCGAACTATTACTTACCTTCTCATGCATTCCCATCTTATCTTCACCTTGCAATCTCCTATACCTTCCACTCAGGTATATACAGGACCACAGTGAGCATTTCTTTTATGCCAGACTTCAATATTCCTGTTTGGGTAGGCTCTTCATTTCCTGTACATTCTTTCCTGCTTCCAGCCACCTCAAAAAGATACTGCCATGATACACTCTACCCTCTTCTTGGTTTTTGTTTTGTTTTGGTTTTTTTTTTAAGATATTTATCAATTTGAGAGACAGAGAGATAGAACAATGGAGGGGGTGGAGCAGAAGGACAGCAAACTTCCTGCTGAGCAGGGAGCCTGATGCAGGACTCAATCCCAGGACCCCGAGATCATGACCTGAGCTGAAGACAAACGCTTAACCTACCGAGTCACCCAGGCGCCCCCCACACTCTCCTTAATGGGACCAATTCTCACCAACTGTCTGTGCATCATATCCAAGGGCTTCCTTTTTATTTTCTAGCACCTCCTGCAATCAATCTGAGACAGACACTCTACTCTCTTTTCTTACTCCTCTTTTCGATTTGCTTTTTCTCATATTCCACACCACCTTGAACTTCTTCATCCCAAAATGACACACTTAATAAATCAGCACTAAAAAAAAAAGTTTGCTTTCTTGATGCACGTCTGTACTTCTTTTTATCAGGCCCAATTTTATGCGTCAGTTTCTATTTCTTAAGCGTCATCTTTTGAGCTCTTGTTGTTACAAGCTACCTCATGTCACCTTAAATCCAGGCAGCATGTGTCTTTCTAAAACAAAATATTATATTTATCCTGTAAGTCTTCCAACTCATTCTGCAAAATCAATTTCCTCCTTTCCCTCCCCATCCCCCTCCAGATAGAATGGAAACTCCGTATGAAGGGATACAGGAATTCTCTGATGATCCCCGGTGCCTGAAACAGTGCCTGGCACTTAGCAAGGCCTGGCAGGTTCTTGAGGAATGAATGTTGGTTGCTTGAACCCCCAAACAGCCTCTCAGATTCCGCTCCTCTCGACCTCTTCTCTGCTTCGCAGGAACATGGTCAAGAACATAAAAGCCAAAGTGAAACCGTCAGGGTCCGATGACTGGCTCACCATCTAAGTAGGGGTATGACCTTGAGCCTATTACCTGACTCTTAACCGCAACCTCCCCAAACGTAAATGAGGATATGAATAGGCTTCCAGTGAGGAATGAGCGGGTGAATGCAGATAAAGTACTTGGCACCCTGCAAAGTGAACACACCAAGGCCTTATCATGGCTCTTTTGTTCACGCTTCTCCCATTCAGTGTCACTTGTGCCACCACACCTGCATTAAGTCAGGCTTTCTTGCCGAACCTTCTTACCTTCAAAAAGGCTGGACCCTGACAAGATTAGTTTGACTCAAATATGAGCAAACCAATAGGCTTTGGGCCTGAGGCACTATGAGCGAAGGCTTGCGAGTTTTGGGTTTTTTTTACCCTGTGAAAAATATGTACGCATTTTAGTGATAGAGTTTAGACATTTCCTGAGCGCCCCCCCCCCGCCTCTATGTTTCTGCATTTACATCTCACTTTTCAACTCTGTTCAGATAAGTTACATTGCCCAAGAGTGGCGGTCTGCACAGGTGGCAGCCAGAAGAGTTTACTTTTACCGAATGGCCTGAATTATACAACTGAGCAGTGAGAAAAAGCTTTCTATGTCACTCCCTGTTTTACAAAATTTATGAAAAAGTGCACTTTACATCTCAGGTCTTTAAGAATCTTCATGGGCCATTCTGATTTTAAGAGCTTTTCTGTAAACTTCTGTAAATTCTAAACTAAATATTAACCAGGAGAAACCACTGTCTTTATCGTATGTCTTACTCCTCATACTCTGCACTTTGCCAGAACTCTTCATATGCAGGCAACGTCAACACTGTGCAAACTGGGGGTGATTTAACTCTTGCTTTATTTTGATTTTTGCTCCTCCAAATAAAGAACAGTGATCAGTAAATACTTCTTTAGAACAAAGGGCAGAATACATTTGGTTTACAGCCAGCTTTTGACCTGAAGCAAAAAAGTTTTGCAGAAGCCACCCTGGAACACAGCAGGGCACTCACATTTCCCATGAAATCGCTGGCTACCTTAAATACACTTTAACTTTTCCAAGTTGTCCTACATTTCTACAAACATTGGTGATATCCCCTATCCCATACCTAATATTGCATTTTTTGTTGGGAAATTGATGTTAAGATTCTGACTTTTAATTAGTTAGAATTCTCTGAACCTTAAACACATGCAAGGAAAGGTCACAAATAAAAACTGGCAAAACTCACAACCTAATAAGTTCACCCCAACCAAGCAAGAGAGGAGAAAAGGAATATTGTGGGGCATTTACCTCACGTGGCAAGGTCTTAACTGAAAAAAAGGTGGTCCCTGCTTTTAAAAGAACAGGTCTCAAAGAAATGCCAGCACAGCAGACCCACCAAGTTCACTCAAATTTGGGAATAAATGTTTGCATAACTGAGTGGACCAACAACTTTCAAACCCCTCTACCCAACACTGACCCTGCAAACATATATTATTCGTCACCAGCTCCCTTTCCCGCAGTCATACCCAATCCTACCATAGTCCCTGGTATTCTCTACGGCAAAAGGGAAGTAGAACTTAGCAACAGATTTTTTTTTTTTTAAAAGCTAATGATTCAGGCAATTCTTGGAATAACTTCCACTTGAGAAAATGTAACTAAGAGGTCCTATCAAGAGACTCCCCAGCTGCTGAGAGTTCAACTCTGGAAATTCCCTCTTTTTTGACGATTCCTGACTACCCCTAATCCAAACCACAAAGTTTAATGACCCTAAAGCGCCCTTTTTTGCCTCCAGCAAACTTGTTATTCTTTCTAAATATTCATTAAGACGCTCAAAGATGTTTACTGACTTGAAGTCGAAAACAAAAAGCACTGGAAACCTAACTCCAAAAACCTTGCTTCCCTCGCCCAACCCCCTCTCTTTCCCCAGGAGAGGAAACTGGGAGATCTGGAGCTGAGAGTTGAGCCATCCAGTATCCAAGGGGTCTGACACTCAGCCCAAGAGGTGATGACAGCCAGGGGGTCTGGGCAGTGGTTCCAAAATGGGGCACCCACTGCACTGGGAAATGTTGGGCGCTTGCCAAGATACAAACCCTGCCCCGGGGGGAGCTGAATCGGATGGTCGGAAACCAAGGCAGTTCTGCAGGGATCCCAAGGCCCAAATCGAGTTCCACCAGCCTCCTTCCTGTTTATAGATCCCGCTCCCGTAACCCCAACTACCAAAGAGAAAGCAGACGTCTCCGAAATATGTCAATACATGACATAACTTGAAAGAGCTGGCTGCTCATTGGCGCGAGTTACAACTTGTCGGGTTCACACAGGAAAACCGGCTCGCTTTAATTACTTTTCTTTTAATATGCCATGCCGTCCCCTCCTGGGCCCCCGCAAAGATCGGGTTACTGAGAACCAGGGAGCCTCGGCTGTAGGACCGAACCGTGTGGGCGGCTGGCTGAAGGGAAGAAACGCGGGAGCCGAGCCGACGAAGTGGCTGCCCATTCGGATTGGCGACAACGGCAGCGACTCTCCCCTCGCACAGGCGCAGGAGAGGAAAGCTGGCACCTCCTCGCAGTCCGCACCAAGTTGCTCGACCGCTCGGTGATGTCGCGAGGGGGCCTAGCTGCACCACGCCACTGCCCTCGGGTCGGCCCCGGGCGCGCCACCTTTGTCTCGGCTTCCCCGTCCGGACGGGCGACGCCTGGCGCGAACCGGGCTTTGCCCCGGTCGGAAACACACACCCGGCGCTCGGCTTCCCCCGGCTCCGCGCGGGGCCCGGGAAGCCGACACGGCCGCCGCAAACCTCCCACTTGCACCGCGCGCCCCCGACTCCCCGCCCGGCCGCCACTTCCCTGGCGCGGCCGCTGCAGGGCGGGGAGCCGGAGACCCGCGCGCTCGCGGACGCCGCCGCCCGGCGCACCCCGGTACTCTCGCCAGGCGGGGGCCACCTTGCCCTCCGCGGCGCCCGCCTCTCCCACGCCTACGCGTGTTCTGACTCTGGAAAGCACCCGCCAGAGGACCCCCCGCGAAGCCAGAACTGACTGGCCGCGGCGAGAGGAAGGCGCGACAGCTGCTCACCCACACCCACTGCCTGCCCCTCGGCCCTTTCTCACCTGCCTGCACCGTGTCCGAGAGGTCGTGCCCGGGGGCCGCGGTCCTGGGAAATTCCTTCAGTTTCCTGGCGCTGAGGTTCAACCCCCCGGAATTGGCCGCTTCCTCTAGCGCGCGCTCCAGCCCCCGGTTCAAGGGCAGGTTGAAGCCCCCGCTGCCGCCGCCGCCGCCGCCTCCCCCGACCCCGCTGCCGGCTCCGGTTCCTCCGTGGTGCTGATGGTGGTGGTGGTGGGGATGATGATGTGGGTGCAGAGTAGCCACCGAGAGGGCAGGGACGAAAGGTTGGGGTTCGCTTCCCGGCGTCGCCATCTTCTCCCGGGCCCCCCCACCCCGCCCCGCCGCTCTTGCGGGGGGGGTCACAGCTTTCCCCCGGGAGGGGGAGACTGCCGCGCGGGCCGAGTCCCTGCAGTGCCCCACCGGAAAATACTGGAAGAAGGGGAGGAGGGTGTGGCAGGCGCGCGGAATGGGGAGCAGTCGGGGAGGCGGCAGTGGCGGCTCGGTCTCGAAGGTTTCCTGTCCCTGGGAAGCTAAGCACTGCGGCGGCGGCGGCGGCGGCGGCGGCAGGCAGCGCGCATGTGTCTCCTCCCGCCCTTGCTCCCTCCTCTCGGCGGCTCTCCCCTCCTCCGCGGCGCCGCCTGCTCTCTCCTCCTCCTACCCCAAGCTGTCAGTCCAGCCCTGAGCCTTCCTCCGCGCGGAACCCGGCCGGCCCCCGCGGCTTCGCTGCGCTCCGCCTGGCAGTCGGGGGGTACGTCGGGGGCCGGACCCTATGACCGGGGCGACCTTCGTTTAGACGCCGAACACCTCTGGGTTCTTTTTGCTGTCCAGGGCATTTGGGGGGACAAGAGGTTTTAGAGGGTCTGAGAAGACGCCAACGAGGCAATAGATGGGGTTTGAAATACAGTGAGATCACGAGGAGGTGAGAGGTTATCTCAATTCTGCGAACTATATTGGCTTTTTGACCCACAGTTCCCCCAAGAGGCAGGTTTTCACTGTGGGATCAGACCCCTGGCATTTGGGCGTATACAATGAACCAGTGGTGTCTACATTAATTATCTCATTAATCCAGGGATCCCATGAGCGGAAAAACTGTTTCCCCAGACTACAGAGGAAGTTTAAAAAAAAAAAAAAAAAAAAAAAAAAAACACCAAACCTTGTCTGAGGTCACCCATGCAGTCAGAGGCAGCGCGAACTTGTAGCCCTCAGACTGTAGGGTTGCCCTCCTTCTGTATAGTCTCGGGCTGGACCCCAGGTCGAAGAGCCAAGTAGAAGTAGAGCAGAAGGTATTCTGAGCGGTAGCGTGGAGGGGGCGGGGGTGCTGCAAAGGTAGAAAGGAAGGACTTTGAAAAAGAGGGTAGTTTTGATGGTGGACAGAATCCACTGGCCCATGAGGGAGAGGGGCTGGCTATGGTTGGCTAAGCCCCAAAGTTGAGTGGTACAGAAAGAAGTAAGAAAACCAGTGACCCCAACTAGTCAGTAACTCAGCACATTTTGAGCCTGCGCACAGGTCCCGTCAAAGTATCCTCATGCAGCTTCTTGCCCCCAAAGGACATGGGGACTGACGCGTAAGCAAATTCACGTTCTGCCCAGACATGGCGACAGAGCATCTGAATAGGGCAGACCAGCTGAAGACTGATAAAACCCCATTCCCTTCGCAGGACGGAGCTCCAACTCTCTAGAGCCTCCATTTCTGCGGATAACCGTCTTGACCATCACTATGAGCAAGTTGGCTAGGAGAGATGAGGATACAGGTAGGAAAATACCACACCCCTGCTGGTAGGCGAGCCGGTCTTCCAAATGGTAGAGCAAGAAGGTAGGAACTGGTGACTTCATGGACTCGGCACTAAAGTACGACATGATCTATGTCACTTGCGTTGCCTGCATGCCCAGTCGCCCTTAATTCGTACAGGATTCTAGGCGGAGTAAAATATTCTAAACCCGTCGGAGGAGACAAGCGCCATCTCCTGGTGTCTCCCCTCCAAAGCTCCTCTCCTGCCAAACTCAATCCTCTCAACTTGCCCGACTTTTAAAAACAAGACTTGAAAATAATAACAAGAATAATAAATAAAAGCACAGTTACATCACTTATAAAAACGAACCTACTTTCCCCTTTCCTCTTTGGTCTTTACCCAAGATGTGAGTGAGAAACAGACATAGAAAAAATTTTCACTTAATTATTTTCAACTAAAACAGGTGGTACGTCTATGTGATCAGTATGGAAGATATGATTGAGGACATCTAGCAGATTGCAAATTTAGTTCAGACCACAAATTGTGGTGATGCACCGTAGAGAGCATCATTTCTTTTTTTTTTAAAAGATCACAAATTCTTTTTTAGGGGAAATGATGGAATAGGAATTCAGGATTTGTTTTTTAACAGGTGTTTGGGCCTTATGTTAGAATGACATAGTCATTATAGTTTGTTTTCCTTCTCCAGATTACTAAAGTGTGAACTCCTTGGGGGCGGGACACATTCATCTTTGTAACTCTTACCTCATATCTAAAATAGTACTTTGTGAATAAGGAATGCACAATAAATATTGGTAATTAAGCATTGTGCAATGGGCCAAGTGCACAATAAACCTGTCTATTGCACAATGGAAAGCTTGCCATTTGTTGGTATGTCTTACAAATTATGTCCCTGAGTGAAGGAGTTTTTCCTTAAAATAGAGGAGAATACTTGACCCTTAAAACTGACTTTATTTCTAAATATTCAAGAACTTGACAAACTATTTTCTCTTGTTGTCTTGTTTCCCTTTTTTTTTTTTTTTTTAATTTGGACATCTCTGTTTTGTTAAATACTCTTTTTACTTCTTGGGAAAACAGTACCATCTTCCCATTCACTCTCCCCCTCTCCATACATACAGTTCTTCGACTCAGCCGGTTATCTCAGTTAGTCTAGAAGTGGACTTCTGACCAAATGACAGCAGCCAGAGGATCAGAGAGTCCTGATTATGTTCAAACCCTGGATTCTGACTGTTCCTGATTTGCATCTTTAGTTTCTATGAGATATCCAGTACATTTGTAATACATTCTACTGTTCACCTAAGTTAATTTTATTTGATCTTCTGACTGTGTAACCAAGAGTTCTAATTAATACATGCAATTTACCATATTTTAGTCTTTATTCCCCCTTGTTTTCCTAATATAACCTCATTTGGGGATGGTCTACAAATAATCTTTTATAAACTATTTGGATAATGTCAGCAGATTTTTTTTTTCATGTTTTGTCTTTAGTACTTTCCAATCATCTTACAAAGTTAACAATTCAAATGATTGAGAAAATGGGGGAAATAGAAATATTCTCAGATTAAAATAGTGGCTATTAGAGAAAAGTGATCAGTTTCATCAACAAACATTAAAATTTTAGAACCCATTTTTTTTTTTAATTCCTCTTGAGTTCAGAAAAGTTACCAGACTCTTGCATATTTAAGACCCAGCTCTTTCATTCTTGCCTGAAAAATAGAGCTATGGACAAGCTTATGAGAATCAAACTTACTAAGAATGGCAGATAGGTTTGAGCAGGGCTAGGGGCACCTGGTTGGTTCAGTCTGTTCAGCGTCTGCCTTGGGCTTGGGTCATGGTCCCGGAGTCCCAGGATAGAGCCCTACATCAGGCTCCCTGCTCAGCAGGAGTCTGCTTCTCCCTCTCCCTCTGCTCCTTTCCCACTCGTGCCTGCTCGCTCTCTCTCTCTCTTTCAAATGAACACATAAAATCTTTTAAAAAAAATAGATTGGAGCAAGCCTGTACAGCCTATACCACCTTCTCAGAAAGCCATGAAGAATTTTCTTTTGGTGGGAACTCAAAGCATATACTGAAGAGGTAGGCATGGTCACCTAGGTTTGTCCTTCACGGTCCTGACTGCCCCCTCCAGCCATAGCTAATTCGATAAGAGGAGCTGACACAAGATCCAGCCAACCCCAAGCAGGGGAGTTCACCCATCCGACTCTCCTGAAAATTGAAGCAAAACACACCGAGACCAGAGTCAAATTACAGCACGTATGTGACCCCAAAGGAAGCCAGAGTCGGGGCTTATTCCTATCTTTTTACCTGAATATTCTCCAAACTCCCTGCTTCAGTTTCCTCTTTCTTAAAAAAGGAGTAAGAAAATTCCCTGCATAACATCAACCTTTTTTATTATTCCTTCCACATGCTCTCGGACTTAAGTAGTCTCTTTGCACTATATCAGTAAATATTTATAAGTACATATTTATCCGGAAGTGATCAGAGTGTGTTGTATTCATGTGTATTTAAGTACCTTTTCCCTAGAGCCCAATGTGTGGCAGGAAGACAACACTCCGACCTAGAACTTCTGAGAGATTCATAGCATTTTTTAATTTTTATTTTTAATATTTTATTTATTTATTTGACAGAGCGAGAGGGAGACAGAGTATAAGCAGGTGGAATGACAGGCAGAGGGAGAGGCAGAGGGAGAAGGAGAAGCAGGGAGCCTGACTCGGGACTTGATCCCAGAACCCTGGGACTATGATCTGAGCTGAAAGCAGACACTTAACTGACTGAGTCACCCAGGCACCCCAATAGCATTTTTTTAAAAAGACTTATTTATTTGAAAGAGAGAGAGAGAGAGAGAGCATGAGGGGTAAGGGCAGAGGGAGAGGGAGTGAGAATCTCAAGCAGATGCCACGCTCAGCATGGAGCTCTGTATGGGACTTGATCTCACAACCCTGAGATCACGACCTGAGCTGAAACCAAGAGTCAGAAACTTAACAAACTCTACCACCTGGGCGTTCCTAATAGCATTTTGAAAGAACCTGTGAGGGAGAGATCACTTGGACCACCCAGCATGTGAAGATGATTGTGACAAAGAGTTTTTTTGGGTTAATTTGGTTGATACCTCTTTGAATAAGGTGTAACAAGAAAATGTCAGTGACCAATAGGTGACCCTCAGGTTCCTGTCAGAAGTTTCTCAAGAGGTTACTGGGGAAAGAGCCACTGGAAAATAAGGACTGAAGGGCACCAGCAACATAACTTTAACTTATAAAGAAATGTATTTTGGGGGCGCCTGGGTGGCTCATTTAGTTAAGCGTCTGCCTTTAGCTCAGGTCATGATCCTGGGTTCCTGGGATCGAGCCCTGTATTGGGCTCCCTGTTCAGTGGAGAGCCAGCTTCTCCCTACCCCCTACACCTCCCCCTCCCCTGCTCATGCTCTCTCTCACTCTCACTCTATCTCAAATAGATAAATAAAATCTTTTTAAAAATGTATTTTTGAGTGACTGGCCTTTTAAAGGTGTGAATGTAAATATTCAATTATAGATGATATTAGATAACAGCTTTACCATGATCGGTCCCCCTAAATATTTCATCTATTTATTATATTGTGTGTTATTGGTTTATAATATAATGGCATATTAGGCTATTGGCTTGTAATATAGTAGTCTCCCCTTATCTGTGGTTCCTTCTTCTGTGATCTTGATTACCTGTGGTCAACTGTGGTATAGAAGCAAATGATCCCCTCACCATATCATCAGAAGGTCAATAACAGCTTACCTACCCCTACACCATAATGCCTATGTCATTTACCTCACTTCATGTCATCAC